GAAGGCCTTAAAGAAGCTGAGAGGCAGGCGAAAGAAGAGGACCTCCATGGCTGGAGATGTGGCTTAGTTGGCAGACTGCTTGTCAGCATTGTTACAGTGCCAAGACCCCTGGGAATGACCACTCAGATTCCAGACATGCAAAGTTAGCCAAATTTATTCAGCTGTCCAGCGACTGCATTCTCTGCAACTGGCAGACTGCTCGTCAGCATTGTTACAGTGCCAAGACCCCTGGGAATGACCACTCAGATTCCTGACATGCAAAGTTAGCCAAATTTATTCAGCTGTCCAGCGACTGCATTCTCTGGACTGGGATTTAGAGAGTGCAGCCCCACTCAGAGGAAAGTGACGCTTTTTAATGGCAAAAACCACATCCTGACAGATCAGGCGGCTGGTACAAGATTACTCAAAAACAGGCAGATTACTTACCAATGAGCAGTCACATGTTTGTCCCTATTAAACCAGGATCTCACTTGGGTACAGCCCAGCTGGAGCAGGAGTTGCTGTGGCAAAAGGGCTGTGCAGGCTCACTGGGCCCTGCAGAGAGGTGCCCACTTGAGTGGCCGAGCCCAAGCCTGAACCTGGTCTTTGGAGACTGAGGTCCTCAGATCTCAGCACCAATCAGCTTCTTCCTGGGCTCCTTCTGTCTACAGAAGCAAGGAGGTCCAGCCTAGTCGATCAAGATGTGTAAATATCTTGTGGTCTCATCTGGGGAGCCATTTAAGCCTCTTTCCCCCAAATCCCTTTAGTGTAGATTTCAGATACAGTGTAGAGAGAAACCTTTCCCATCACATCAGGAACCCAGGACACACCCCCATCTAAAATTTAGTGAGCTATTTCCTATTATCCTAATATTCTTTTTGTTTTTAAGGGAACTGAGCTGTGTCCCCTGAGCCATTGGGGTCAGGTAAGATGCCACCAGGCTGGACTTCTTGCTGGAGAAGCAGCCTGGAGCCTGCATCAGAAGGAGGGGTAAGTCCTGCAGCTGCCTTCCTCTGGAGACACCAGCACACAGACTGGGTCCTCAGGCCTTGTGGACCCTGCTTGAACTCAGATGCTGTGGGGAAATGCTACCCTTGTCTGGAAGTTAAACCCAGTTCCCTGCACACACCTTTCCCAGGCCTGTCTCTCAAGGCTGTCCCCAGAAAGTAGCGCCTTCACCTGGGGCCAGGTGCCATGTGGTTTCCAAGACTGTCAGGCTCCTTTGTTCTCTGTCTCCTTCCCTTACCCACTGCCTCCACCCCGCTTCTTCCTTGTTACCATTTAACAAGTATTTGCTGGGCTGGAGAGGCCACTCAGCAGTTAACAGCACTTGCTGAGCAATCATGAGAACCAGAGTTTGGATCGCCACACCTGGCAAATGTCTGTAACTCCAGCTCCAAGGGACCCTCTGTTTGGCTTCCTTGTGCAAAGGTGTGCACACCACATCTACACATACATACACTCACACAGATGCAGATACACAAATAAATAAATCTTCAAAATAAATTCTTAAAATATATCTAGGGACTGGAGAGATGGCTCAGTGGTTGCTCTTGCAGAGGACCCGGATTCAGTTCCCAGCACCCACACGATGGCTAACAACCATCAATAATTCCAGTTCCAGCAGATCTGATGCCCTTTTCTGACCTCTGTGGACACTGCATGACACAGGTGCACTTACACACATGCAGGTAATGTACTCATACACATAAAATAAAAATAATAAGGTCTTAAAAATATATATGTATTTAATATCAGCATCCAAGTGAGTGCCTAGGTAGTGACTGCCGCCCCTGTGGCAGGGCAGACTTGGTCCTCCTTCAGGTTTCCTTAGGAGAGCAGCTCAGTGAGACTCTGGTAGCACCTGTTTCAACACAAGGATGAGTTCCAGGCCAGCCTCAAGAAAGAAAGACAAAAATGGAGGGAAGAAATGGGTCTCAACTCCAGAAGCCCAAAGATTTTTAGAAATAAGGGCTTTATTTCACGCTCCACATGTAGAAAGCAACATAACGCTGAGCAAGGAAAACATTAAATCACCACAAAGTCCTGTGTCTTCTAAGGCTTTGGAGAGGAGCTGGTGTAGGTACAAGAGAACCTGGTGGGGAAGAGTGAGCGAGTGGTGCCTGGCGGTGGGTAGTGGACAGACAGAGTGAGTCTGAGGACTCAGCAGGACTCTGTCTGCGGACAGACTGCCATTCCTTAATTCTTTTTTTAAATAAGTATTTTATTTATTTATTTGTCTTTTTGAGACAGAGTCTTCTTGTAGCCCC